TGATCTGAAAAACAAACTCAAGAAGCTTTCCTATAATGCAAACAAAAGGAAAAGACGCTAGCAATTAATTGTCTGAGTAGATAAAATGTATGGTGGATAGAGAATGGGGATCAAAAGTAAGACTTACATGGTCCTTGAAATTAATAAGAACAGAAGGAACAAAAATGTAAGTAAAAAAAGAAAAGAAAAATTGAGTTTAAGCATTTAAGTTCAAAGAGCTCACCAATTTCTAAGTAACTTCAAGAAAAAAAAAAAGAATACACTTAGAAACATTTTTACTTAAAATAAAACAAAACAAAATAAGGAAACAAAATTTGTCAAGGATCCAGGGAGAAATAAGCAGTTTACTTAATTTAAAGGAAGAAAATTCAAATTGACCTCAGACTTCTCTACAACACTAAAATGTGCATTGACTGAATTATTCAGTTTCAAGAGATCCAGCTAAAACTGATTTATGTACTAAAGCTTTTTGTGCTAAAATGTGCTCTGCAATGTTATATTTAATATTTTTAAACTGGAGTAAAATTTATACTACATAAGAGGCATGATTAAATGATATATCCCTTTTTAATACTACAATTACAAACACTTACAATTATATTTTTAAATTTGAACATACTCATGATATGTGAAATTAAAAGAGGATGTCAAACACCTCTATATATCCCAGTTTGTATAAATTTGTGTGTGTTAGTATGCATAGGGAAAAGTCTAAAATATTAAGGACGTGTAAGATTTGCACACTGAAAACTACAAAATATTCCTGAGAGAAATTAAAGATGTTCTGAATAAATGGAGATAAATATCATGTTCATGGATTAGAAGATACAATATTGCTATGATATCAATTCTGCTCAAGATGACCTATGTATTTGACACAATATAATCACCATGTAAACTTATCACAATATTATTAACTTTATTCCCCTTGCCCTTCTCACCCATCAACCCTCCCACACTTTCTTCCTCCTGGTAACCATCCCTTTGGTCTCTGTTTCTATGAGTCTATTTTTGTTTTGTTTTGTTTTTGTTTGTTTGTTTGGTTTGGTTTAGATTCCACATATAAGTGACACCATATGGTCTTTGTCGTTCTCTGCCTGACTTATTTCACTTGGCATAATACCCTCTAGGTCAATCCATATTGTCGCAAATGGCAAGATATCATTCTTTTTTGTTGCTGTATACGATCCTATTGTATTATTCTGTTTTAATAAAATTCTAAAAAGGCAAAGTGCAGTGAGAGGAAACAGGTACCTGATTGGGAAAAGGTTGGGGAGAGGATTAACTACAAGGGGGAGTAAGATCATTTTTATGGGGGCGGAGGGAGGGAGCGGCGGTTAGGAGGAAGGGAAAAGAGGGGATGGAAATAGTCTATACCTTGATTGTGGTAGTGGTTATACAAGTATGTACAGTTGTCAAAAGTCATCAACCTATACCCTTAAAAACTAATAGTAAATTATACCTTAAAGCTGATTAAAACAAAATAAAGCACAGACACCCAAAAGAAGAAGTTTAGGCCTGAGATTTAAAGAATCACAAATTAATGTTGGGAAGCATTTTAGAGGTGAATGTTGGAAGTCCCAGAAAGAAAGAGAGAGAGACATTAAAAGAAGCCAGATGTGTTCCAGTTTGCAGTTTCTGCTGGCTTGAATCACTAGGGTATTTAAAAGTCTTGGCATAAATCAGATTTCCATTTTTTTATAATCTTGCAGAAGCCTGGAAATTTGGTGGAAATGATACTGGCTATTTTGTAAGGAATAAGGACTTGGAGGAGTTTAAGGAATTATAAATACACTATCAGCCAGGAAGATTGAATTTAGCACTGGAAATATATTAAACATCATCACAGAACCAATTAGCAAATGAATACAGTAAGCAGAAGCTTGGCTTTGTAAAGAACTGACCTTGCCAGACTACTTCAGTCCCTCTAGTAATGAATGGCAGGCCTGGTAGTTTAACCAGAAGCAGTAATCAGAATGTATCTTGGCCCTGGTCTGCATTTAGAATTGTTCAATATGAAACTCTCAGCACTAAAATTTAAAAGTAGCTAAATTGGTCTGGCATGGTGTGGAGAACAGAAGAAAAACATAGATGTTTCAGACAGAGAGTAGCATGTTTGAATTGTGGGTGATGGAGTTCTGGTGTGTTTGAGGCATTAAGAGGTTTGTATGGGTAGAATGTGGGGTGGGAAGTGTGTGTGTGTGTTTGGTGGGTGAGAAGAAAGGATAAAAGAGATGGTGCCAGAACGCAAAGGGCCTTATTCGTGAATTCCTCAGCTCAGTAATAGAAGTCCTGACAGAAAGCTGATACTAGGGTCCAGGATTTTTCACTTATATCACTTGCTGCCTCTCGCTGCAATTAAATGAGCAAACATTATTATACTAAGAAATAAATAGGAATTTTGAATGTTAAGTAGACCACTTTTGAGCTGTATTTTAATGTTAGAAAAGATTGCATACCTTTTAAGTTGACTCAAAAAGCCATGTTATTGGGAATTAGGAAAATGTGAAAATATAAAAATTTGTACCCCTGAACCAAGAGACTAGCAAGATGAGGGGCTGTTATAGGAGGAGGATCATCTTATATACTGGTTGCTAACCAGCTCTTCTCTGTGACCTCAGGCAAGTCCCTTCTATGCCTTAATTTGCTTATCTATAAAATGGGGGTAATACCTATCCATTATCTGTTATCTCCAATTCTGAAATTCAAAAAGCTCTGAAAACCAAAAGTTGGTTTTGTTTTGTTTTAATGTCCTATAAGTTTGTGCCAAATTTGTTTGGTAGTGAAATCCAACCTGAATTTGAAGCTTTATAGTCTTTCCCAAATTCATATTCATGAATTTTGCAGAAGCATTAAGGTTTGATTTGAGGACACTGCCCTAAATCTTGCCGGAGCTGTTTATAATATATGCTATAGGAACTTTTACTCCCTTTCTAAAATCTAAACAATATTGGATTCTGGAACATCTGACCCCAGGGGTTTCAGATAAGAGGTCATATACCTATAATACCTTCCTTATAGGGTTATGTGAGGGTTAAATTTCTTATAGCAGAACTCAGAAAATGGTAAAGCCATTATTATTTGTCATTATTTAAGCTCAGAAATTAGGTTTCTTTCTCTCTTCCCTGGGAATGAGCAAAGATTAACACCTGATAATTCCTAAATTTATTTTTAGTACTTTTATATTTTAGTCTGTCAAGTTTCATTTATAATATATCAATTATTGAAATGGAATGTTTCTCTTAACTGCCCTCCTCTGAACACTTATCATTCTTTTTTTTTTTTTTTTTTGCAATTTTTAAATACTTGGATGGATGCCTTATTTGCCTTCAGGTGTTAGCTGACAAACTTATTTTTCAGTCATCTTTCATAAGGTGCGTCTTATGAAACTCATGGTTAGATTATACATCTCCTAACTAAAAATACATCTTATTTTCTTGGAGTTCTCAGTAAAACTGAGTTTTTAACATGTCTTAAGACAATGTCTTTGTTTTTAAAGTAATTGGTTAAAAACACTAGAGCAAAAATATCTGTTGAGACTTCAATCAGTGCTTCCAAGTAGAATTTTATTTTTGTGGTTCATTTTTTGACATACTTTCTATTTCTTCAAGCTATTGAAAACCCTTTTGCTATATTTAATCCTTCACCTGTGGGCATGGAGAACTATTTATGCAATATAATTCTAGTGTTGGAAAAATTTTGCCTGAAAATTTCAATTACTGAAATATTTAGGGAATAAAGGAAAGTTATTTAACTACATATTGTATTTGAAAAGGAAGAAATAAAGCACTTATTTTTAAATGTGCTTTTCAGTAGGACATTCGCTTTTAGTTCAAGTTGGGTTGGAACGTATCAATAATGATTCCCTTTTGCTACTCTGTCTCCTGCTTCCCCATTTCTTTCCCCTGGAAGGATGTCGCTGTCAACTTGTGATTGCATCCTGTGTGTGTGTTTACCTTTGTTTGTGTGAGTGTTACTAGGTGCCCTCTCTTGGCTGGTAATTCTAGTGCCTGGATGGCTTTACTCCCAGCATCAGAGTGAGTAGGAATGCAGTGACGGGGTACTGACCTAGAGAACAGGAGTGCTAAAGTTTAATATAGTGTAAGGATTAGAATGGAGACTTTCTACACTGGTTCAGAGGTGAGAAGGGAAAGCTGCACAGGATAGGACTTTTTTTTTTATTAGGTTCTAGGTCTCCTGCTTTCTCAGTTCTATTTTGCCAATTCTACAACCAACCAACCACTGAACTTCCTCTTCCTGCAAAGGAAGTGTGGGCAGGAAAAGTTTCACTCACTTGTGAGTGAAAAGATCTCCATCTTGATCTTTTTGCTGCCATGATTTGCTGTTACATTAAGCCAGTCCTTTTTTTTTTTTTTTTTATGGGAGTACAGGACCAAATGGCCGCTTCCCATTCTCTTAGGCTGTAACATTAGAAGATAACTGTGGCAGTTTGGGGGAGTTTTGCTTTGCAGTTTTGTAGCTGGTTGACCTTGGGTAAAATCACCTCACTCTCTGCCAGACATTCCATTTTTAAAAAAAATTTCCATAAACGTTAATTCCTGTGTGTCTCTCTAGAATATTGTATGGGTAGGATTAATTATAATCTGTTGAATATAGCTCAATTCATGTGAACATTGTTTTTTCCATTTAGCATCTGGTACTCTATAAAGCTGTTCATGGTATTAATCATTTAAACCCCTCCGAGACCGAGTTTCTTCATTCTAAAGAGAATAGGAGATAATGCTGTAAATGTGTTTTGATAAATGCGAAACCTTTTGTAAACACTGGATTTTATTTAAAGTAGAAAAAAATGTATTAGTTTGATTAATGAATTTAACTTACTCTAATAAGATTGTTAGATGTCATGCATATATTAGCCAATGGTAAATGTGCAGCTATAAAGGCCGTAAAATGTGGACATATTTTCCTTGCTCTGATTCAGAATGTAACAATATCTCCCATTGGTTCTTTCTCTCTACCTCTGGCCCATCTCTAAGCAGTATTCCACTGAACTGAAGAAACTGTACTGCCAAATTGCCAAGACGTGCCCCATCCAGATCAAGGTGATGACCCCACCTCCTCAGGGCGCTGTCATCCGTGCCATGCCCGTCTACAAGAAAGCTGAGCATGTCACCGAGGTGGTCAAACGGTGCCCCAACCATGAGCTGAGCCGTGAATTCAATGAGGGTAAGAAGAAGAGGATTCTGTGATGTTCAACTAAGCTTCTAGCCCCTAAAGCTTCTGTGAAGATATTTGTTTGGAGCCCATTTATCTGGTTCCAAACTCTGCAATCTGATGGCAGCTCACTCTACCATTTTAGCTGATAAAGTGAAAATAATGATCAATAAATTTATGGATCTCACAACGATTGAACTATTTAATTTAATATTGATAATTACTAGATAACCTGAACTTGCCTCTCTACGCCCTACTGCTTCCTTACTCTTTTTTTTCTTTTCTTTATTTATGCTCGCGTGTAAGAAGAACAAGATAGCATTTGGTCATCTGGCACATTCAGCCCAGGCTAGGGAATCTAGCTTTAGTGTCCTTTCCAAAGTGATTGTCAAGGCCTGACCAACTGAATGGAGAGCTAGAAGAGTAGGAGGAAAGTGAGGAATATGAAAAAATAGAAGATAGTAGAAAATAATAAAAAGAAATGAAGATAAATAGTAGGCAAGAGGGGTAAATAGAAATCTGCAACATAAGCTGGAGAGGGGGACAGTAAAGTGAAGGACAAGGCATCAGGGAGCAAGTTTCTTGGGGCCACGTTTAAGCCCTGTATCCATGTTTATGTTCTGAGCCTCAGATCTGATGATAGCTTTACAGAAGAGCTCAATATTGCCAAGGATTCCCTAATATTCGATATTCTGAGGTTCTGTAAATGGAATCTAAGAACACAAAAAGGTGGAGAGAAAGGGCAGGAAAATGTATAAGGATTCATCAAAGAATGATGAGGGTTGGGAATTAGGATACTTTGCATAAAAAAATATATATATTTAAAATGGAAAAATTGGTAGCTAAAATGTGTGAATGTGGAGAATTAATAGATAGTAGAGAAAAATTAATGGAGAAAGAAAGAGAGGGGATAGAAATTTAAAAAGAGAAAATGTAGTTTAATTTCTAGTCCTTTTCTACATGGCCTCATTATCCATACCTTCGCATCTTGCTTTTTTCACTTAACAATACGCCAAAAAGATGATTTCTTATAGGTAGGCTTCATTATAAGTTTCCATAACTGCCCTTGATCCATCAAGGTGGCATAACTGTTTATTTTTTCTCAGTGTTTGACATAATAGGTGTTTTTAGTTTTTGCCATAACAGATGATGTTTCAGAGAGCATCTCGACACACTTAGCTTTTTACTGTCATTAAATATCAGTTTTTTGTGGAATGGTAATATGCGGTCAAAGGTTAAGAACACCTTTATGGTTCCCAATTCTTGGATCAGCTTCTTCCTTTTGGAGCCCTGTCCAGTGTTGCAGTTTTGTGAAACTTCGCCTACACACTTTTTTAAAACTCGTTTCTCTTTTCGTATCTTCTAACCTTTGGCTCTTCCAGCATAACAGATGACCAAAAGCAAGGTCTAAAGATAGAGACTTTCGGATGGAGAAAAGAATAGGAGAAAAGAAAGTGAAAGTGATGTCCTTGCCATCTGCTGCCTCTTATTTTTGCTGATCAGTTTTTGGATAGAATTTCTCAAGCTGATTTTTTAAATTAACTTGTTTCTTTTCCTTCCATTTTTCATAAGCTAGCAAAATCTCTTCTATGGATCCAGTCAGAGATATATTCATAGAGTTCTCTAAAAGCTTGATTCATTAACCTTAAATATAGAACTGTCTTCTGAAATATACATGCATATTCCAGTCCTTTCTTTCTGTTGCTAAAAAGGTTGTGACACCTTCATGTAGTAGATATCTGGCAATTGAATCTGTTCCTTTTTTCAAGGATGTGTATTTTCACTATTAAACAAACTGTTCCTTTGGCCACCAACATTATGTCCATGCCATTTCATTTTGTTTTGTTTTGCTTTATTTTGAGGGTGAAGAACTAACTATCTCGTCTTTCTCTGTTCTACAGGACAGGTTGCCCCTCCTAGTCATTTGATTCGAGTAGAAGGGAACAGCCATGCCCAGTACGTAGAAGACCCTATCACAGGAAGACAGAGTGTGCTGGTACCTTATGAGCCACCCCAGGTAAAAAGATAAGGACTGGGCTGAGTTGGGAGAGGATTAATTTCAGTGACAAATGTGTTTCCAGTGTCTGTTTCTTAGTTCTTGTCATCAAATATGTAACCTTTTTGTATCTCTTCTCTTCATTTCTTCACATACTGCTTTTCTATCTCCTTCAAAACTTCTAAATGTGTACTAACTTAACTTGGTAACATGGCTCTGTGCCCATGTCCCTATCTTAAAGGCTAATAATAATTGAATTTGAAATTGAGTTAATACATGACCTTATCTCATCCAGAGAATTTAACCGGCAATTGAACTGGTAGCGAATGTGTACCAATACTGGATGCAAGTAGTCCTACACTAGGCTGCAAATGGGAGACTCTGAGAGGGATCTCTTAGCTGAAGTTTGGATGGATGGACAGGTGGCAGATTGGAAAAGCAGAACACTGGCATAGTGAGACCAGAGTCTTGGTTTGCTGGTTTGCTGTGTGAACCTTTAGCTGTGACTCTTCCTCTCCGGACTTCAGTTGTATCATCCATAAGTGGGCACTTTGGACTGGATTGAATGCTGAGGACCATATAAGTTCCAGAGGAGTGTTATTTATGAAAGTGTACCTTCATGTTTATGTTATACTGTTTTATCCACATAGGGAAAATATCCCTGGAGCATTGCTGTTATTTTTAGTAATGTTTTCAGCTCTCCTTTTACAGTGATATTCATTCACATATTTGATGAAGCCTGTTTGAATTTGGTGATACATATATGAACTCATAAATTAATAGGGTCAAAAATGATTATTTTTTAAAGCCTATTTCACCTAATATAGAGTCCAGTGTTTCAAATATTAGCCTTAGGCTTCCTAAGAGTCAAGGCAAAAAGGAATCTACAATGGGCTTTAGAGCTTTTCTTCCTAGAAGAAAGCGTATCCCTTTATCAGAGGTGGAGAGACTTAAATAGAGGGAAGAACTGAGAAAGAAGAATATCAGATCAAATTATTGTTAACACAGACTCTTTTTTCCCCCGTGTTCAGGTTGGCACTGAATTCACAACGGTCTTGTACAATTTCATGTGCAACAGCAGTTGTGTTGGAGGGATGAACCGTCGTCCAATTTTAATCATTGTTACTCTGGAAACCAGAGAGTAAGTGGCATACGCAGAATTGCCATTCTGCAAAATACATGGGCAGAGGGCAAAGTGAAATTGTGTTTGCTTTATCATTACCTTTGCCTGTACAGTAGAGAACTACCCTTGATTTTGTCTTTTGTGCTTTAAATCCTTGCTGCAAACACTTACATAAAAGATCTAAGAAAGTGGAGACAAAACGGGGTGGGTAAACATGGAGGGAAAAAAACAGAGGGAAGGCATGCAAGTCACTTCATACCTGAATTCTTGACATTTAACTGGAATAGTTTCTGATTAGACAGTGTTTGTTTTCATGTGGCCCCCAAGGCATTTAACAGTTTCTTTGAATCAGTCTGGGCTGCCTAAGGGGATTTTATCCGGAGACATCCACTGGCTTAACTCAAGTTTCCTTCAAAATATGTAGCTAAATACAGCTGTTCAGCTAATGGCTTGGAGGTTCTTTGCAGAACAAATGGAATGTTATTTACTAATATTGCTTGTGGCATGTAAGCACTTTTGTGTTGTGCCAAGTGCTTTTGGGTCCATCCTCAAAGCAGCCATGACTGAGCTGGTGGTGGTGGTGGACTGGTGATGGCCAGCAGTGGAAATGAAAATGGGAGAACTTCGGGAGACTTTTAAAATTCTTTTAGTTTGACTTTTTCCTCCCTTCTTTTCTAATTTCTAGTGGGCAAGTCCTGGGCCGACGCTGCTTTGAGGCTCGGATCTGTGCTTGCCCAGGAAGAGACAGGAAGGCCGATGAAGACAGCATCAGAAAGCAGCAAGTCTCGGACAGCACAAAGAACGGTGATGGTACGAAGCGCCGTAAGTAGCTGTAGTGGCCAAATGGGGTAGGGTTAAGTCTTCTCTACATATGGGGTTAACGGAGTGATATTTGAGAAGCTATATAATAAGACTTAAGGTCTCTAGGGACAAGTGTGACTCGAGGCCCCAGAGAAGGCATTGATGGAGGTGTTCAGGTGGACTCCAGGTATTCACTGCAGCTTTGATGCAGGACAGGGCAAATTTCCCCGAGTTGGTAGGGGTAGACCAAGCCCTGCACTGAGAGAAGAGGGTCCTTTGGCAGAGAATGTAGAAAGAATTCAACACACACGCTGAAGTTTGAGTCAAAAGAAAAGTTTATTAGAAAAGAGTAACACTCCATAGATAGAGTGTGGTATCCTCTCAGAGGCAGAGAGTGAGAGGGGCAGTGGGAGAGACAAGAGTAAAGGCAGTGAGAAGGACCCTGAGTGTTCAGGGAATTCATTTTATATGTCATTCTTTAGTTTCCATTTCCTTTGATATGGACATACAGTGAGGAAAGGGAAGCATAAGTAATATGAAAAGGTAAGACATTGTAGAGTGAAAGGACAGCTGGCAGTTCTTAGCCTTTAATCCAGAGGTTCCCCATGTTTTTAGCCATAGAGAATGACTCTTGGTTCCTGTTTCCCCTTCCACAGGTGTGAGAAATGAGTTGTTAGCAATCCAGCAGAAATTTTCCTTTGTTCTGAAGGTGTCTTCCTGGCCTGGCTGCAGGACTGAGCAGCATATTGCATCTCTGAAAGTGGCTCGATTAACATTTTTAATTCTCTCACCTTCTCCCTTTGTTAACTTGACAAAAGCAAATAGTCATTGTGAGGATTTCTTAGTCCCAGAGATTCTCAAAATGTGACTCCCAGACCAGTAGCATCAACATCATCTGGAAACTGGGTAAAAATGCAAATTCTTAGTTCCTAGACTTGTTGAATCAGAAACTCTTGGTGTGAGGCTCAGCAGTCTGTGTTTAGTAAGCGCTCCAGGTGACTGTAATGCTAATTGTTTAGAACCAGGATCTTAGCCTTATTGGTATTAGTTTATCTTTCTGTTATTGAGCATGAGGGCTAAAACTACATCTGCCTGCTTCATTAGTCTATGGGAACGGTGAGATTTAAGAATGCATTTCATAAAGTATAGACAGTCTAGAGAATATACAGATCTGGATTTCATTGAGTCTTAGCATCTATAAACCTCTTGAGGCCTTAGTTACCTTATCTGTAGTGAGGTCAGTTGTTTTCAAACTTGTTTTGTTAAGCAGTGAAAGCTTTTTCGAAAATGAAATATTTCAAGGATCATGCAATAATACAAAAGAGATGAAAGCGGACCTGCTCTGGTCGAAGGGAACGAGAGCTGGGGGCGGTGGCTCCATGCTCTACTCGCAACCACCCATTAGGCACCACCTCCCAAGGCCTAGCCCTCTAGCTAACAAAGTATGAAAACCGCTGATCCACATGTGCTTCTAACTTGTGAGATTAGATTCTAGGTGTCTTACAGAAACTTGCTATTACTACAACAAATATTTCAAAATAGACCACACTATGACTTATTTCATGAAAAAATTAATTTAATTACTACTTAGTGTCCAGAAGAAATAGAAATGATACTGCGTTTTACAGGAGAACCACAGAATGTTATGACGACCAGTCACCATCAACTTCTAACTGTTCAATATGATTTATCCTTCCTGTTAGGCTCTTTCTTTCACTGATTATTCTTCAAAAAATTATCTACGTATATGTGTAATTTAGATATATGATATTATCATTTATGACTTAAATATATGTATGATATAAATTATGTAATTTAATGTTAAATATAATAATATATTATAAGTAACATAATTAGATTTCCTCCCTAACTTTGCTCCTGAGTCGGCCTGTGGCATAGTTCCTATAGTCTTTCCCACGCACCTCAAGTTACCTACAAATCAATGAATTTCAGTAAAAGTGGACGATCTGAACTTTGCTAGAAAGATCATCTCTGTACCCTGGATCCTGGATATAGTTTCTAATTTTAGAAACCACAGGGATTTATGAGCTTAATTCATTTATTTTGCTAAGGAGAAAACTGAGGTCCTCGGAAGAGAGACTGCTCATCAGAAGTTATGAGATGCAATATTAACATGGGAGAGCTGAATGCACAAGGCTGAATGCATTGGCAAGACTACCTCTACAGTGTGCATTTACCACCTTGGAAGATAAATGACCTGAAAAATAAAACATAAAACCAATTTATCTTCCTTTCCTTAACAGCTGTTCACAGACACAGGCCAGTAAGACATGGGGATTCCTGCAGCACGACTTAAGCCAAAGGCCATTTCCCAGCATCCCAAGTTTCTTCCTTTCACTCATTCTTCCTTACTTACCTCCACCTCATTATTGTTAGGTTCGCCCTCTATGTGCAAAAAAATCCAATTATCCCCAATTAAATGGATGCTTAGAACTAGAAACTCTAATCTCACAGTATTGCTGGTGCTATTGTCTGTTTAGTAAAGGTATTATTGCTTCAGAAATGTTCCCAGGATAAAACTTGCACTTTTCTCTACCAGCTTTTCGTCAGAATACACATGGCATCCAGATGACATCCATCAAGAAACGAAGATCTCCAGATGATGAACTCTTATACTTACCAGTGAGTCTCCCTTGGGTATTCATGATTATTTCATTTTTACCTTCTTTGAATGAGCTTTTACTCTATGGTCATATTCCAATTGTGACAGTGAAGCTATGGGGGCTAGTGAGATAACACAGAGAAAAAATATATTTTTCGAAAAATCAGGAATTTATCCCATCCTTCCACAGTTTTGAAAAATATTAATAACGTAGGCTCCTCTACTTACTGCTCCCCTCTTAAAAGCTACTCTCCTAATAGAATTTTTCTTACCTAAATATTTAAAATTAATTTGTTCTTCATTATTTAAGGATGATAAGATTATCCTAGACAACATGGCCAAACATGGCCAAATTTAGGACTAAAACCTTGTCAGAAGACTTTCCAAAGTTGATCACACAACAGTGATAGAAAGTTGACTATGATTTCTTTTAGGGAGTGCTATAAAGAAAGCCAAGGAAGGTAGACTCCTCACATATCTGTGAATGACCATGAGACTCGGCCCAATCATTGAGTTGGACTAGTGTTCATTTCTATAAGAAATATTAGTCCTTTCAAAGTCTCTAAAGTGCCCTTCTTTAGACTATGGTTGCAGTTCGTTGAATTCTTATTACCTTAGGTCTTTGCCGTCTAGAGTGGCTACAAAGTTTGGATAACCAATATAGCCCTTGATGCCACATAAACAGACATGAGATATAGGCAAACAGGGCCAGATTTGAGTAGGAACTGGCAACCTGGGATTGAAGCTAAAGCAACTCAACAGGTTTGGGTGTGCCATACCTACTTCCCTACCTTCTTTGGGCCCTGACCATCAGGGATATAGACTGTTTACTGTTAGAACAATCAGACAGTGAGTTAGCTAACATTCTCAGTGTTTTGTCTCTCAGACTACATACGGAATCTGACCTGTGAACTTTAAGTTAAACATTATCCCAATATACTAAATACAGTGGTTCCTCCCTTCCACCACATATACCAAAATCTGATGATGCTCAAGACCTTATATAAAATGGTGTAGAGCAATGCATAGATTCAGCCCTTCACATCCACACATTCTAACCACCGAAGAAAAATACTGTTTTTCATCCAAGGTTGGTTGAATCCATAGATGTGAAACTGGGGGAATATAGAGAGCTAATTGTATATTTATTTTTTAAAAAATGTGTATAAGTGGACCCATGCAGGTTAATCCCATGTTGTTCAGAGTTAACTGTATTCCAGAAAAACCTAATGTTTTCAGCTGCTGAAATAGGAACCACTTGAAAAGCTGTTTTTTAATGAAATAACAATTTGTACTAGTGAAGGAGGTACCCTGTAATCAGTTATATCATATATGTAGTGAAGAATTAGCCAAACCAAGTGTGTGAAGAAAAAAAAACTCTTAACATAAGTTGAATTTGGATGGTATTTGTTGAGTGGCAAATATACATTTAGGGATCAGTAGGATACAGTTCTTACCTTCAAAGTTATGCCTTCTATCAAGGAGATTAAATGGGCACAATATAATGAAATATTTGTTTCAGTAGAGCTAGGCATGGTACCGTGGGAACACATAGGAAGGACAGAAATGGCCTAAAAGTGAGGTCAACAAAACCTTTCAGAGGTGATTCCAGAGCTGGGATGAGTAGGAGTTAACCCAACAAAAGGTAGAGAAAATCTTTCCATTTCTGAATTCTGATAAATTATGGCTGTCATACCTAGGGAGGGGACTAGGATGAGACAACTGAAGTTCCTAGGGTACAAAACGTAAATAGGCTGTCACTCTCAGGGCCCTGCGTGCCCTTCTGTCCTGGCCTGACTCTGTCCTGGCCCTGCTCATGCTTATTAAAGCTTTTAAAGACTCTCTTAAAGAGAGAAATATATTTTTCCCCAGCTGAAATCTTGTGTCCTTCCAGAGATAGTTAAAGGTAATTTTTGTCATTTGTTATAGTTAATGCTTTATAAAGTCACTGTGAACACTGTACCAGCAAATACGGACCCAAAATTGTGAGGGGAATTACTGGATTAGGTTTCTATGAGCCTCTGGTCACAGCATTTTCAGCAACCGATCAGTATCTAATCTTGTTTTATGTGTGCTTTGTTCAGAGACACCTTATTTAATATATACTGTTGACTCCTTAACATTGAACTCACAGCAAACAGCTATAACTCATGCCAGAAGGAAGCTTATTTAACTTGTGTTTTCTCCAGAAGGCACATCACAGCCTTCTTACACTCAGAACACTAGACGGCACTTTAGCACTACACTTGGGGACCATTTTAAACAAGTTTCACCAACAAAAAAATGTGGAAAATGTGGCACTAAACAGACCATGAAAAGGACACTTATTCACAGCACAAGCACTGAAACAAGAAGTCAGAGCGTTGCCTTGTCCAACCTCAGCTGGGAACGTGCACGGGTGACTCAAATTTTTCGTCATGAAGTGTTGCGAGTATTGATATTCATGTTACAAATAAATATTAGCAAGTTGGAAAATGCATCAATACAGAATCCACAAAAAATGAGGACTGACTGTCCTTCTGATACTTCTACAGCTTGTCATTTTTCCTTCTCTCTTCTGCTCCTTTATGTAGGTGAGAGGCCGTGAGACTTACGAAATGCTGTTGAAGATCAAAGAGTCCCTGGAACTCATGCAGTATCTTCCTCAGCACACGATTGAAACATACAGGCAGCAGCAACAGCAGCAGCACCAACATTTACTTCAAAAACAGTGAGTGGATCAAATGTGTTGATTTAGGAGACATTAGTAAGAGTGACTGTCAACAGTAAGGTGATTGTTGGATGATGAAGAAAATGAGAACATCATAGGTTCAGATGAGCTGGTGTGGGGCACTGTTTCAGTTTCAGCAACCTTCTACGTTTCTTATCATAACTTTCCCTTTGAGAAGTTGCACCTATATTCTGAAATTCAATCCAAACTATTACAGCTGAATTACAAAGTAACTCACATTAACAGAGTTAGTTCTCTTCTCTCCTACCCCATTTATACACATCTATCAATATACAAATTTTGAATATGCACTCTATTCTAATAATAATGTGTATATTTAAAAACACATAATCTTCTCTCATCCCAGTGGATTGTTTTGTACCTCTCCTGGGATGCACACAATCCACTTTTGGGAAAATGTTATAGAATAGGCATAGATAGAGAGCACATAGGTTTTACCATAACTGACTTCCTTGAGTGCTGTGTTGAGGATTCTAAGACCTAGTGCATGCTTATTGGGAAAATGTCTGGATGCAGAAGGTATCCAGGATCATCACACTGACATGTTTCAGCATCCCTGTTCTAGGTTGTTTTCTAGCAATACATTTTGGCATAAATTGGGCCAGATTTTGGAACCACAAATACATACAGCCTATGTACATATTAATTTTTACCTTGACTCTTGGATCTTTGATGATGTTAATTGTTTTATGACTAATCAGAATTGAATAGCTCTTATGAAAGGAAGGGAAGTTGGTGAATCAGGACTCTGTATTTATCATTCTGTGGTTAAGAATAATCACTTGTTTGCTTAATTAAGATTCTGTGTGTGTACTGGAAGTATTGCCAGAGTCTCTGCAGATATATTTCAAATGTACATATTTTGGGCCCATTTAGTTAATTCAAACATTTGACTTTATTCTTCAGGCAAAAAGAAATGAAGCCAAAACCACCTTGCCTAAGGCAAGCATTGTTTTTTTACAATAAATATATGTGTTTTTTTTCTGATATATTATTAGCTACTATAGAGAGAGACCTATGGGAAGTATAACAAAGAGAGCTCTTTATTCTTTTATAAATAAACATAAATTCAGTTGAGGAGGTTGGACCACATCTCTGAAAGTCAGGAGGTGTCCTCAGAGCAACTGTTGGCTAGAGGGTGTGGGGGTGGCCAGAAGAGGGATAGAAAGGAAGTGTGTTCTTTCTTTAAAAGACTTTCAACTCTTCAGCATTTCAGATCTTCTTTTTGCCTGGAAGGGATCTCACCATTTACTTTAGCATGAAAGTTTTACAAATCATAATTTTAAGATTTTATAGTAGGGCTGAGTGGGAAGTTTAATCAAGAGATTTCTTGGGGATACAGAGTATTCTAAAGGAGAATTAGAACTCAAAGTTTCAGACAGAATTCCCATTGCCAATCCTGTAGATTCTTTAGGATATCAGATAGAAATTTATGTTAATATATTCAAGTATAAAACTGATTTAGTTCTTATAAATTATATGACAGAGATCAAAGAAACAGACCTGTAACATCATTTACAGACCCAAAGGCGATAAGTGCCTTCCCCAAGATATAACATGCCATGGTATTAAGAAACTCTCCCAAATTTCCTCCAGTTCACTCTGGAAATGTTGGGCTCAGCCAAAAAGACCTCAGAAGAATGACGCTGTAGCATATCTTGCTGAACCACCTGCTCTGTGATCCTCTTTCCTCTCCTTTTCACAGTTAACAGGAAAAGTACTGTCAGGCCAAATTGATACCTATTAAATGATGTGATTTAAAAGGTCTGACCGTCTAGCTCAGGGGTTGGCTTTTATTTTTTTCTCCCCCCATGTAAAGCACCAGTAATAAATATCATAGGCTCGGGTTGATATGGTCTCTTGCAGCTACCTAGAAGCCACCACAGATAATAAGTAAATGAAGGAGAGTAGCTGTTACAGTAAAGCTTTATTTTATAGACACTGAAACTCACATTTCATATAATTTTCAAATCATGAAATAATCTTCTTTTGAATTTTCCCACCATTTAAAAATGTAAAAACCATTTTTACCTATAGACCACATTTGACCCTTTCACTGTAGTTTGCAGTCATTGTTCTAGATAAATGAATGGCTCTTCCTTCATTGCTTCTTGAGGCTCAGATTTTCTAATGGGAATATTTGGAAACTAATATGCGTATTTTAAAGTAGAGAGGCATTAAGAGGTTCTAGGAAATCCTGAAATGATTTTTAAGATGATGTTTCAGTATCTAACAAAAGAGTAGTTTTTAACTCTTATGTTCAAGAAAATTAAGCAGGCCCATCCAGACATACAATATGGTTAATGATACAACCCCATCATCAGCTAAGCCTGGAATAGTTGAGTTTATTCATGTAACAAACTATTGGTGAAGATCTGTTACATGAAAGCATTAAGGATAGAGATCAGAAAGATCTCTATCAAATAAATATTTGGGGCTCCTGCCTTCCCACAGTTTACAATTTAGTGGTGAATTCCTAACCAGAATACCCTTTGAATCCTAAGAAAGTCTAGAAATTTATTCTCAGCATCATGTAAATTAGGACAATTTTAAACAGTTTCTCTATATCATACAATAAGGAGAATAGTTTTGTGTCATAGTTTTAGAGACTTTATAAGCCAGGATGATCTACCTCAGTCAGTGGGGGGCATATGCTATTTGTGTTTGTTTACATGGCGTACATGAGAATACATTGCCAGGTACACCCATATAATGAATTATCCAGTGTTTATTGCCTAACTGGCTGGCATTGCTCTACAGGGAAATTATCTTATAATTCTTATTTCATAAAACAATCTAGTTCATCAAAGAAGAAAATGCATCTTAAAATTATGTTATTTTAAAGAGCCCAAAAGATTGTAGCAACATATTGTTACTATTTTTGCACGTGTGGCCCACAGATAAATAGTGAGGTACTCATAGCCTCATAATTACCTGGGGTGTCCATTTAAAAGTATCATTGCATGCTTTTGAGTTGTTGTCTTATAGTCTACAAGAGCTAACTTCAGATGTGATAACTTGAGCATGGAAATCTAACAGACTGCCAAATGAAATCTTTGCAAAATATAGACATTTGGTCTAATTATGCCTTTGTTACATTATATATACATGGCTCTCCAATGATTGATCTGCATCTATATAAATTCTCCAGTTTCTGTATTCTTCAGCTGAGTTTTTTTCAGCTCTTTTATTTTCATGCAAATCTCCAAGAAAAAGCATGAATGACTAGACAAAGAAAAACGGAAATCTAATTCCCTGGCAATCATTTGAAAAGAATAAATCAGCCTGGAAATGCCTACAATAGCCTGTGATTTCCTTTTCAAAAACATAGTACCAAGTTTATTCTGGTAAGGAATCAATTTTGTGCTTTTTTTTTTTTATAGTAGAGGGAAAATTAGTGGGAAGGGAATACACTTTCTACAAGGTGGCAGAAAAATGTTTTCAGTTTAATTACTTCTATTAGATTCTCACTGCGTGTTTCTCTCTGCTTGCTTTTCATTTGTGCATGGTTTTCCTTTTTCAAAAATTCCTTCCCAATTACCTTCATGATCATAGGCTTTGTGGAGGTTAAATTTTATACTGTTTTTGTGAATCAAATTGTTACAGGTATAAATAGGCTTTTTACCATTTATAAAGAAATTTGATTTTAGTTGCTTTGCTCACATTGGAGTAAACATGGGAGTTATGTTTATGGAGGCCAGAATCTAGTGGGAGAACAAATTGGACCTATTCTTGAACTAGATGCCTAGCCTTTATATTTTTAAGGAGCATCAGCTCTTAAGACAGCTTTGCAGAAGCCACTTGAGACCTTTTTAGCAATCTTTTATTTTGTGTGCTGTAGACCAATACTTTTTTTCTATTCATTTTTTTCTGTAGTTTATCCTCTGAGGCTCCCATCCTGATCTCAGGCCAACATTACATCATTAAAATTTTACTTAGCCTAACTCTTGATTTCCCATGGAAAATTATTTTTTAGTTTCTTCAGGATTCCTTTATTTTAATTTTAGTACAAAAATATGACCTACTTAAGGTGTCCTTAGTATCTTCTTTTCCTTTATGGTCACTTGATGATTGCGGCTTTTTAGTAATACAAGTCAAGAAGTATTGGAGCAAAGCAGGATCTTCAAGATCATAGTACTAACACAACATACCACAGCTCAGGAAACTGAAGCCCAGTGAACTATACCTTTGATTGATTTCATGGCCAGTTCATAATAAAGCCAAGATGAGAATCAGATTTGGAAGACACGGCTCTTTGCAGTGTTCTAGTCTGCTTAATTAGTTGAGAAGATTGTGATAATAAGACTAAAGCAAGCATCTATTCCCCTTTTTTTTTCTGGACTCTGTGCCAGTTGGTATTTGTCCTTGTGGTTTCAATGTAAAGTCCTATCTCTTTTAGCTCATTTGACTATGATTTTCTTCAATAATGTTGATAATTTTTCCTCAGATTCACATATCTGGGGGTGAAGAAGGCAATATTTTCAGGATCATAAATGTAGGAAAGAACAGAAGACACAAATCTCTGTCTCAACGCTAGACACGATTAATGTCATATTTCTAAGCTTGATTTAGAAATCTTCACCATTTCTAGAATATTTCTTTGAAATTGCCAGTTTTATATATTAAAAACAAAACAAAACAAAACAAAACAGATGAATATTGGCAATTTCAGGTGGCTCTACTTTACAGGTCATAGAACTGCCCAGGCTCTCATGGTTTTCTCAGTGTTAACTTTTTCGACTTCACAGCTATGTTAAGAAGTTGTTAGGGCAGAAGTTTATTAGCTCTGTATCGATCATGAAGGAAAAACGCAGATTAATTAAATTCGGATAGATTAGATCATTTTTCTGAATTTTCACATCTTATTGCAGAACTAGTCTCAGTTCTAGGTCTCATAGTTTGAACCTCTATGGTCCATGCACTCATATCATAACTAAAACAATTTCTGCATGTTGTCTCATTCAGTCCTTGCTCCACAA